TTTACCTTCAAATAGCTAGTTTTCACTATTAAGTGTTGAAATGCTCCTAGGTTGTCCAAAACCCGATTCGAACATATGCCAAAGTCCAAAATCATCATACGAACCTATTGGAATTGTCCAATCCCGATTATGGGGTCGTTTTCTAAAAATATTGACCGAAGTCAAACTTGGCCTTTTAAAGCCAAACTAAAGAACTAAGTGTTCTGATTTCAACCCGAACACTTTCAAATCCCGAACCAACTATCCCCGCAAGTCATAAATTAATAAAAGCACGTATGGGAAATCTTATCTAGGGAAAAATAATTCTAATAGTCAAAATGACCAGTTGGGTCATTACAAGATACTTCATTACACGGCTATTAAAAAAGAGCCAAAATTTGATTCCTAAAGAAGGAGAAGGATATCATTTTTTACTATTGGAGGCGTAAGTTGTGCAAAGCATTTCAATTTGCTAATAAATAAATCTCAATAAAGGTATAAAAAGAAAAAAAACTGTTGATTTTCTATAGAAAAAAGTGTTGAAAATTGGTCAAATATCTATTCCTTTATTCCTCACAATTTACTTCTTCCATTCAATGTGTCTTTTCCATATAAAGATTCCTAAATCGAAAAGGAGTTTAAAATGCTCATTTTTTTACCTAAATCTAAAGAAGAAATTCTAGAATTGGTAGGAATGAAAAATTAAAGTCCTAAATATTTGAAAAATAACTAAATGGCTATTCCCGAAAGTAAGAAAAATAATTAACTTATTATTCTTAATTATTAGAAAAATAATCAAATGACTATTTTGTCTAGTGTAAAGTCTAGTTTAAAAATATAAAAAGGCGGACGGTATTTCGCTAAAGGATTTCGTGCTTTTTTATAATACTTTATTTACACGCGATCAATTACCTAAATACGTCATTACCGTGTTTGTATTTATATGGGTAAAAAAATCTGCCTCAGTGGGATTTAACATGAAGCGATATGATCGAGGTCGATTAGAAATAACGGGGCTCGTAGCCGAGTAGTCAATAACGGTCGAGGTCGAGTATCAAGGGCAGTGTTAACGGTTAGTTTTTATAATAGAATATTCAGGAGAATATTCAATTGAATATTCTTGGTGTCTGTATTTTTAAAGTTGATTGAGGAATGTCCCATATAAATAGAAAAAGAGATAGGGAAAAGGTGTGTAATATTCTTTGATAAGAACACTCCTTGAAAAGCAGACTTTCTCTCTGGATAAGAGACGATCACTACACTTTTTTCATTAGATCCAAGAAGGGTCCCAACATTCTAGTATTTGTCTATCATTCATTATTGTCAGAAAGAAAAATCGTCTACCTCATTCAATATTGGGTGAATCATTCCATTTATTTACTTTAATGTCATTTATCGTTATTTATTGATTGATATTCTTTCATCATTAATGATCTTGAAACATTAAATGTACATCACATTTAATCTTCTCTCAGCACTACTCTTGCGTTATTTATGTTAATCGATTATAGATCTAAAGTTATTATCATTAACTAGGTTTAACCATTCGTCATACTAAATTAATTAGTTGAATCAAAGTTCTTACACTTTGTGGTCAAAACATTATTCCTTTGTACAAAATGTTGATACTTTCAAAAAACATATTTATCAATGGTTTTCGACCAATCAATTCTGCCTGTGATTTCTTCGTTGCATAATGCAAAGTATTGAACTGTCCTAATTATACTCAATTTGTGGTTGAGTTTGTATTGCTGCTGAGGGCAACATAGAATGAACATTTTTTTTCTTTAGTTGAACGAATGCACTTCAAATAGGACTAGGCATATTAATTAGAGTTTTAATTAATGTCCGGCAATTATAGAATATTTTTTCATGATTTTGACAATTTTAAATCCCTAAATATTAGGAGCTCAGTAGTTCAAATAAGTAGAGAGGTTAAATTTTTAGTTGATTTTAAAATCTTAGATATTAAAAAAATTATTAAATGACTATTTTGTCTAATGTAAATTTATTTAAAAAGGGTAAAAAAGGCAAACGAAATTTCGCTAAAAACCTTCGTACTATAGTATAGATAGATATAGATTATTAAACGCCATGTGTTAGGTCAATTGTATTGAGAGCGCACGTCATTAATATAAATAATTTAATTCCTCATTGAAAGAGTATTTTGATGCTACCTAATATCATAGAATTTGAAGTCAGCAAAAAATTGCTACGGTAAGTTTTGTTAAATTAGCAAAACCTTGGCATTCCTTAAATTTCGGTAAAGTGACCCTAAGCTTTTGTCTCCCCTAATAATTTGAACATTTTATTTCCATGTTAATTAATTTAAGAAAACTTGACCAAATAAATTAAACAACAAAGATTTGTATACTTTACAGACACCAACACTACTGTCACCACAACTACCACCATCAATGCCAACGTACCATCACCAACACATGTCATTAATTACCACAATCAAATCCTTCAATGTTAGTTATTAGTTATTACCACCAACTACCTCCGCTGTCACAACCACACCACCAACACCATTATTGCCAACGATCAGCATTGTCGTCGCTTGGTAGAATGCACTAGATAAAATAACGCATGTATTAACTTTATGTATTAATAGTATCTTGTATACTTTACGGACACCAACACTACTATCACCATAACTACCACCATCAATGACAACGTACCATCACCAACACCTAGTCATTAATTACTACTATCAAATCCTTCAACGCTGGTTATTACCACCAATCACCTCCACTATCACAACCACACAACTAACACCATTATTGCCAACGATCAGCATTGTCACTCTTGCTGTCAGTCACAGTGGCGGAGCCACATGCACCAAAGGGATATTAACCGACACTCCTTCGTCAGAAAATTACACTGTATAGCTCGATAAGTTTTTAAAATAATATGTATATATACTATATAATGACACCCCTTAACTTCTGGGTAAGTTTGCTTCTTTATATTTTGACTCTCGTTAATGAAAATTCTAGTTCCGACAATGGTCAGCCATTGCCACAGGCGTACAGGCAAATACCCCCCGCCAACCACCTCCTACATCCTAATAATTTGTGGATATGATATTTTATTTCTTTTATTTTATCTTAACTTTTACATTAATAAAATTAATTATAAACATTCAAATATGAGAAGATATAAATTGTTTTATTTAGTATTTATATCTAAATTATTTTAATATTCAAATATGTATTCATATTCAAACATAAAACTAAAAACTAAGTTACTATATTGCAAAGAGTGGTTTAGATAATTTTTTAATATCTTTTTTTTTAAATCCCTTACAAATTAGGAGTATTTATAATATTTTCACACCAACAAAGACTTGTATACTTTACGGACACCAACATTACTGCCACTACAACTACCACAATCAATGCCAACGTACCATCACCACCACATGTCATTAATTACCACAATCAAATCCTTTAATGCTAGTTATTAGTTATTACCACCAACTACCTCCGTTGTCACAACCACACCACCAACACCATTATTACCAACGATCAGCATTGTCACTCTTAGGGGTCGCTTGGTAGAATACACTAGATAAAATAACGCATGTATTAACTTTATGTATTAGTAGTATCTTGTATACTTTACGGACACCAACACTACTATCACCATAACTACCACCATCAATGACAACGTACCATCACCAACACCTAGTCATTAATTACTACTATCAAATCCTTCAATGCTAGTTATTACCACCAATTACCTCCACTATCACAACCACACAACCAACACCATTATTGCCAACGATCAGCATTGTCACTCTTGCTGTCAGCCACAGTGGCGGAGCCACATGCACCAAAGGGGTATTAACCGACATCTCTTCGTCGGAAAATTACACTGTATAGCTCGATAAGTTTTTAAAACAATATGTATATATACTATATAATGACACCCCTTAACTTCTGGGTGAGTTTGTTTCTTTATATTTTGACTCTCGTTAATGAAAATCCTAATTCCGACAATGGTCAGCCATTGCCACAAGCGTACAGGTAAATACCCCCACCAACCACCTCCTACATCCTAATAATTTGTGGATATGATATTTTATTTCTTTTATTTTATCTTAAGTTTTACATTAATAAAATTAATTATAAACATTCAAATATGAGAAGATATAAATTGTTTTATTTAGTATTTATATTTAAATTATTTTAATATTTAAATATATATTCATATTCAAACATAAAACTAAAAACTAAGTTACTATATTGCAAAGAGTGGTTCAGATAATTTTTTAATATTTGTTTTTTATATCCCTTCTAAATTAGAAGTATTTATAATATTTTCACACTTCCCCTCCACTTGAATAAAGGACGTTAAGGGTCTTGCATAATTTTTCAATATCCAAGTCTCAAAGGAAACGTGGTTGTTTCTCTCACCAGGAAAGACATTTGATCTGGAATTCACATGCTTTCCTCGAGGTGATATCCTTCATATGCAGATAGTAGCTTCTCGAATTAATTACATGCTTTCATCTAGATAAATCCAAATCTCCATCCGTAAGACATGACCTCACGCTTAGACATAAGCAATGCCTGCGTAATATTTAGAAACTTATTGAAACTCAAAGGAGGTGGTGCGTCAGCATTAAGATTAATAGTATGTTTGGCCAAGTTTTTTTCAATTCTATAAACACTTTATTTTCAAAAGAAATATTTTTTTTAATGTTAAACTATTTGGTCAAACTTTTGAAAGAAAAAAAAAATTACTTTTGAAGAAAAACAGAAACAGTTTTGAAGAAGCAGTTTCGAAAATATTTTTTTAAAAAGCACTTTTAAGAAAAATACACTTAAAAATAATTTTTAAAAATTTAACCAAATAGTAATTGATGCTCAAAAGTGATTTTCAAATTATTTAGCTAAATATAAATTATTTTGCGGCAAAAGTATTTTTGAGTATGAAAAAACGCATTTCAAAATAAGCGAATTTTTATGGCTCGGTCAAACGGTCTATAAAATAAAGAAACAGAAGGGTGGGTGAACCTTCAATTGCAATACTATCAGGTTTCCTCAATGAGTAATCATGTACAGAAGGTATAGTAGTTAATTAGTCATTACTAGACTCGTTGTTTGAGGTAAAGAAATTCAAACGCACTCTCTACCTCTCTCTCACACACACACTAGAGAATTTGGAGCTAAAAGTATCAACCCGATTATCCACCTTTCTCCAGCTGCCGATCGAGAAGCTAGCATCAGTCAGTATGTCATTCTTCTCTTCTTCATCCTTTATTATTTTTTTCTTCTTTACGCACGGAACTCTTCAGCGAAATTGATTGTACAATAGTCATTAAGCGACTGGTAGGATGTAAATCTTCCGCTCTTCTTTAATTAAGAAGTACGGTCTCCTATTTGTAGTAAGAGAATACCAGCTAGGTATAAGCATTTTCATACAATCTTTTTTTCTTTTAGTTTCATATCTGTTTACCCTTAAAATCGGATAACAATTAAATTTTTAAGTGATTTTAAGGATATGTGATTTTACTTGGCACAAACTGAGAAATATGAGAATTGAAGTTAGAAATTAACTATAAAGCAAAGCAAAACAACATAGCGTGCTACCTTGGCCCTCAAGCTAGGTCGCCCTCGAACCAAATGAATATATTATTGAAAAGCAAGAACTCGACAACAGAATAAGAATGCTTACGAAAATGTTATAAACTGCTTTGATATGCGTCAGTCGCCTTACAAGATGATTGGAACCCCATTTATATAATAGAGTAATTTCACATATGGTATAATTTTAAATACAGAAGGAAATCTACTAATTGGCTAATCAACCGGTCTTATCTTGATACATGCGGAGATCTCCGCCACAATCCTCGTCCGGTCACGGATTCTTCGGCTTTCTGTTATTCGACTTAGCAGGCTTTTTTCGATCTCGCTAGATCTCTATCCTTCTCGGTCTTGACCTTAGCTGGTCTCGATCTCGATCCCTGAATCATGAGCTAGGCAATATCTATTCATGTAACGATCCAATATAACTTGGGATCGAACCTCGGTCTGCCGCTCCGATCTTGATTAACCATACGAAATCGGACAAGCCCGATTTTGATATACGTATACAGAGAGTCCCCTCGTTTTTTTGAGAGTAATGACAAGAAATGATTTGAGCCTTCGATCATGACATAATCATCGTGACATAAACATCAGAAGTGACTGAAACGTCTCGTCGGTACAGTTTCTCAAGTATTTAATGCGTGTCAGTTAATGGTCGACCGCTACCAGTTTTGAACCTTCGTTGTGAATTTGATAAATAGCCCTCCTTCATTATTCCAAACTTTTACTTTCAAATCTTTTTCATTCCAATTTCCATAGTTCTTTGCCTTCTTAAAGCTTCATATCTTCGGGTCTTTGAGTTTCTTTGCTTGTTCTTCCTAAAACACCGAATATTTTAGTCTCCATTCTTCTTTGCCTACAAAAACTAAATGGCCAAAACATCTAAAATATTTTTGCAGAAAGAGGTTGCTTCCTCATCTCGGCCGGCCGGCGAGAAACCAGTGGTGGAGCCACGCCCTGAAGAACTTATTCCCGGGATGTGTGGTATTGATTCTGATTTTAAGGTCAAGAAACCTTCATCGGTTCCTGGTCGATGTGAGCCGATATCGAGATATATGTGCTCGATACCCAAAAGCTTCCTTGACCAGGCGAAGGAAGATTGCAACTGGGGAGACAAAGAGGTTGTGATACCAACACCAGAAGAAGCGATTACCACCTATGTGGAAAGGTACCTAAGTGTTTACACTTATCCTTTCACACTGAGTCCCCTCGATCCGGTCATCGTAGACTTCTGCAAGAAATACCAGGTGACCCTCGGCCAAATTCACCCCTCTTTCTGGAGGGTCGTGATACTGCTCCATTTCATCGTGAGCAAAATCGACGGGCTTCCTTTCACCCTTGACCACCTCATAAGATTGTATAGCCATCGACTTTATCGAGGTGGGCTGATAAAGCTTCAACACCGGGCCACCAAGTCACTCATCTCGAGTATAGATGAAGACAAAGATCGGGACTGGATGGGTCAGTTCGTTCGGGTTAAGACCACAGACCTAATCCCGACTGAGAGCATGCCATTTTCTTAGAAATGGAATATGAAACGTAAGTATGATTCCGTCTTTAACTTCTGTTTGTTGTTTTTACTTCTTCCTCCTTTCTTATCAGTGTTTTTCTCGATGAAGCCGTTGCTTGGATGCCGAGTGTGGTTCCCCACCTCGAGAACTAGGTTAGGAGCCTGGTCTCAATGTCAACACACGCAGAGCGTGCATGGCGCGATTTGTCAAAGGGTCGGTGGGAGGCTCGTACTCATGGTAAGCCTTCTTCCTGACTTACCGAATTGTCTATCGTTCAAACATTTTTTCAAAATATGAATTTACTTACTTTCTCCTTTTGTAGATCTCGTAAAGGACGCGACTATGAGACCCTCGCCCGGTGGTGAAGAAGTTTCACCACCTATCTCAAAACCGGCAAAGGAGAATAAGAGAAAAAGGGCCTTGAACTCCGAGGGTCAAGAACCCAAGAAGAGAACAGCCCGTAAACCCAATGGGAACATAATCCCATTGACTATGGAGTCAGTCCAAAGTCTAAGGGAAGAAGAAGAAGAAGAAGAAGAAGAAGAAGAAGAAGAGAAAGAGGATGATTCTGGGCTAGTGGCCCATGCGCGAGCTAGCACCGAAATTCGGAGAACTTCAGAATCGGTGGGAGTTGATATTGCTCCGTCTAGGCTCGATGAGGTCAAGGAGGAGACTTCGTCCTAAGTCCCCGAGTCGAGAGGAACCGAAGATTCTTTGCCTCGTGGCAAAGAGACAATTGAAGAGGTGGTGGATGCTGGTGCAGAAACAGAGCTCTAGGCTCCCCAAGATGGAGGCGGTGCCCCAAAAGACCCACTTGGGGCAATAGAGATAGGGGATTCCCCCTCGTTTACTTTATTTTCCGAGTCGATGATACGCGACGCTCAAGCCGTAGAGACTTGTTACGGGGAAGGATCCCATGGAGAGGAAGATATTTTCCATGGTTATTTTATTGGGGTAGAAGGTGTCACCAGTCTAAGTGGCTTGGAGATTTCGAAGAAGAGTTCGGGCGAGGTGGGAGAGCCTAGTCTTTTCAACGAAGCCCAATAGGCCCTAAGCCGCGTAACTTCATATTTTCTTTGTCAATTTTCATACTTGTACTCTTCCCCCTTTGTGTAATTCTTTCTTTCTATTCTTGTAGGCTTTTGTGCTTCATCACGAGGCTTTCTTACGATCCCGAGGGGAGCTGAGCCGGTACGAAGTCGAAATTTGAGGGCTTACTGAGGAGAGAAATGCCTTCAAGCTTCTCCGTGAGCAGTAAAGAAAGGGAAGCAAAAGGACTTCGGGCTGAGCTAGAAGCAGCTCAGAAAGAACAAGCTGATTTGGCCGAGCAGGTAAAGAGAATTTTTGAAGTTAATGAAACCGACTCGGGCATGGTGGCTAGCAGTTCGGTCCCACATGTCCAGCGAAAGCTCGATGTGAACAGGCAGCTTCGTGAGGAAGTGGACGCGGTGAAAGCGGAGGCCGAGGTGTGGAAGAAGAACATGGACCACCTTGCCTTAGTAAAGGAGGCTACCCGAGCTCAACTAGCCTCGGCTGAGACCCAACTCCGAAGCTTGAAAGAGAAAGACTTGGTGCAAGCCAAGAAAATTGAAGAGTTCAGTCTCGGTTGGGTTCAGCAACTTCCGATCGAGAGAGGTTGGTCACAGAACTTGCAGCGGCCAAATCGGAGGTCAAAACGGCCAAGGCTAATGCTGATGCAATGGTGGCCATCTACCGGTCTGACGCTGAAGCTTCTCAGGTTCGAGCAAAGGAGGTTGCCGAAGCTGCTCAGGCTCGAGCGAACTGGATTGCCGAGCATGCCAAATGCCAGTCTCGAAGGGAGACTCTCGAGGAGGTCCATGCTCGTGGCTTCGATCTTACAGCCGAGATCGAGAATGCTAAGGAGCTTGAAGCTGAAGCCAGAGTGTTGGCCTTTCTTGATGATGATGATTCTGCGAGTATGAGCGGATCTGAAAGTGGAGAAGGCCTCAATGCTTCTCCCGGAGAAGACTAAGTCCTTTAGGATTAGTATTTTTTGTGTTTCTTTTAAGACCATTTTGGTCTTTTGTAGAGAAATTTGATCGGGCCATGCTGCCCTTGTAAATGATTTTTGACATATATATAAAAACTTTCTTCCTTTCTACCTTATAAAAGTATGAAGTTGTATTCTAAGGTCCGAGGTTTAGACAGTTTGGTTGAAACCAAACTAGTATAGCCCTTAGGCTTTACGATCGAGTGAGTACTTGCTCGAACTCGAAGTAAGGTAACCCTTAAGTTTTTTTTATTTGAGCGAAGATGGTCTCTCGAACTCGAAGCCAAAACAGCCCTTAGGCTTTTGTAAAAAGATTATTTATGGCTTTCTCCCCTTTTCAGCTTGAAAAAGTTTTTTTATCATTTGTATTTGCAAAACTTGTAATGCCTTAGCATGAAATAAGGAATTATTCGAGAGTTCGAACAATCTTGTACTTATTAGAGTTTTCGAGGCTTGATATTATGGAAGCCTTTTATGATTTTACCGGGGCTAGCCTTTTTAACCGGTTTATGAAAGAATTCGAAGGCTTGTTTTATTACGGAATTCGGACATCTCCGAACCGTGTTAATTCGGCGTAGCCTTTTTAGTTCGGAATTTGCCCCTTAGACTTACTTTCCCGTTTTACTTCGAGCTAGCCCGAAGTGTCAGTCCCTGAGTGGGGTGGACGTGGCCTATAAAAATCGAGGGTTGCCTAAAAGGTCTTATGATCTCGGAGTTTTAATAATTCGATCTCGTTTATTTTTCTGACGGCAGTCCCCGAGCTAGGAGTAATTATCCGAGTTATGGTCAGCCCTTAAGCCTGTTTATATAATAGATCGAGAGCATGAAATTGTAAAGTAGAAAATATTTTCTAAGGCATGAGATATCGGTAAACAAAAATACTTCTCTTTATAAATGATTACACATGCGTACATGTTCTGTGCCAGGATTCGAGCAAACTACGCGGGCATGGTTCGTTTGACGGTTTAGCCCTTAAAAGTTTTTCCTATCGAGACACTGCTGCCATGAAGTACCTTCTTTGCATCAAAGTTGACATTCGAGGTTGATTGTAAAGAAACCTCAGATACTGTTGAATTGTTCTAAGTTAGCACGATCAATGGTTGCCTCATTAAAAACCTCATTGGAAAACCCATTTGGGACAAAATCGGTCTAAGGGAAAAAGAGTCCAACGCGTGCTTTCAGACCTAAAGGCTTTGTGTCGAAGAATCCATCGATGTTTCTGGTCGAACACCTGTAAGGGTTAGTTTAGAATATAAATGAAAATGGAAGGGCCGTACCTTAGCAGTAGTATCGTTTTAGGTGCGATACGTTCCAATTGCTCTGCAGTTGTTCGTCGTTCATCATGTTGAGCTTGTAGGATCTTTTTCCGATGATTTCGAGAACCTGGTATGGTCCTTCCCAGTTCGGACCTAGTTTCCCTTCATTCGGATTTTGGGTGTTGAGGGTGATTTTTCTTAGCACCAAGTCCCCGATGTTAAAATATCTAAGATTGGCTATTCGACTATAGTACCTTTCGATCCGTTGTTTTTGGGTGGCCAATCAGACGAGAGCGGCTTCGCGTCTTTCGTCCAACAATTCTAAGCTCGTATTCATGGTCTCGTTATTTGATTCCTCTGTTGCATATCGAAACATGAAGCTAGGTTCTCCGACCTCGAACGGGATTAGAGATTCGGCATCATAAACTAATGAGAATGGTGTTGCTCCGGTACTGGATTTCGATGTTGTGCGGTATGCCCATAGAACCTCGGGTAGTATTTCTCTCCATTTTCCTTTGGCGTCGGTCAATCTCCTTTTAAGATTTTGGATGATGGTTTTGTTGGTCGATTCAGTTTGTTCGTTTCCATTGGGATGATAAGGTGTTGATAGGATCCTTTTGATCTTGTGATCCTCGAGAAATTTAGTTACTTTGCTGTCGATGAATTGTTTTCCATTATCACATACAATCTCGGAGGGCATCCTGAATCGACATATGATATGGTCCCAAATGAAGTCTATGACTTCCTTTTCTCTGACTTTCTCGAAAGCATGTACTTCAACCCATTTAGAGAAATAATCAGTCATAAACAAAATAAACTGAACTTTACCTGGGGCCGACGGGAGAGGGCTAACGATGTCCATTCCCCATTTCATGAAGGGCCATAGGGACAGGACTGAGTAGAGTAATTCCCCGAGTTGATGATTCATGAGCGCATGCCTTTGACATTTGTCACATTTTTGAACGAACTCCCTTGCATCCTTCCCCATATCGGTCTAATAATACCCTGCTCTGATTACTTTGTGGACCAGCGAAACGACACCGGAATGATTTCTACAAGTGCCCTCGTGAATTTCTAGTAGGATGTAGTCGGTATCTCCCGGTCCCAAACATATTGCCAACGGTCCATCGAAAGTCCTTCTAAACAGGGTTCAGTCTTCGGACAAAGTGAACTGTGCTGCCTTTGTGCGCAGAGTTCTCGACTCCTTTGAATCTTATGGAAGCTTCCCGTTCTTTAAGTACTCTATATACTTGTTTCTCCAATCCCAGGTTAAACTTGTGAAGTTTATCTCGGCGTGACCTTCTTCGATTACTGATCTCATGAGTTGTACGACAGTCCCCGAGTTGAGTTCGTCGTCCTCGACCAACGAACCTAAGTCTGCAAGAGCGTTGACCTCGTTGTTCTGTTCTCGAGGTACATGTTGCAAGGTCCATTCCTTAAATCAATGTAGAGTTACCTGTAGTTTATCTAAGTACCTCTACATTCGGTCTTCTCGGACTTCAAAAGTCCCGTTAACTTGGTTTACCATGACGAGGGAATCACACTTAGCCTCTATGACCTCGCTCCCAAGCTTCTAGCTAGTTCAAGACCGGCAATCATGGCCTCATACTCGGCCTCATTGTTAGTCAATTTTGTAGTTCTGATAGACTGTCTAACTACATTACTTGTGGGTGATTTTAGTAAGATGCCTAGTCCAGACCCCTTCGCGTTTGAAGCACCTTCCGTAAAGACGGTCCAGACTCCCGAAGATGTACCCAATTTTATCAATAATTCTTTTTCAACCTCGGGTACGAGGGCCGGCGTAAAGTCAGCCACGAAGTCTGCCAATATTTGAGACTTGATGACGGTTTCGGGTCGATACTCAATATCGTACCCACTGATGTTTACGGCCCATTTGGCCAATCGACCCGAAAGTTCGGGTTTGTGCAAAATATTTCGAAGAGGATAAGTTGTTACAACATATATTGGATGACATTGGAAATATGGTTTTAGTTTCCTAGAGGCGCTTATTAAAGCAAGCACTATTTTTTCTAAGTGTGGATATCTAGTTTCTGCCTCACCTAAGGTTCGACTAACATAATAGACAAGGAATTGTGTACCTTGTTCTTCTCGAGCCAGGACTCCACTTATCGCTATCTCTGAGACTGCCAAGTACAGGTAAAGTTGTTCATCCACTTTCGGGGTGTGAAGCAGCGGCAGGCTCGATAAATACTGCTTTAGTTCCTCCAAGGCCTGCTGGCATTCCGGAGTCCATGCAAAATTGCTCTTTTTCTTAAGCAGCAAGAATAATCGATGGCTCCTATGTGAGGCTCTCGAAATGAATCGCCCAAAGGCGACTATCTGCCCCGTCAGCCTCTGCACGACCTTTACATTATCCACTACCGTGATATCCTCGATAGCTTTAATTTTATCGGGGTTGATCTCGATTCCCTTGTTGGACACCATAAAACCAAAAAACTTGCCCGAGCCAACCCCGAATGCACACTTTTCGGGGTTGAGCTTCATATTGTACTTCCTTAGTTTATCGAAAGTCTCTTGCAAATGCTTTAAATGGTCCTCTGCTCGCATGAACTTAGTTAACATGTCATCAATATAAACTTCCATTGATTTTTCTATTTGTTCTTCGAATATTTGGTTTACTAGTTGTTGATAAGTTGCACCAGCATTTTTTAGACCGAATGACATTACATTATAACAATAGGTCGTACTTATTGATAAACGAGGTCTTTTCCTGATCCTCCGGGTTCATCTATATCTGGTTGTACCCGGAGTAGGCATCGAGAAAACTGAGAGTCATCAGTCGTGGCATCGATCATACGATCGATATTAGGCAAAGGAAAAGAATTCTTGGGGCATGCTTTTATTTAGGTCTTTATAATCTATACACATTCTAAGTTTGTTTCCCTTCTTAGGGACTACTACTACGTTTGCTAACCATTCGGGGTACTTTACTTCCCGAATGGATCCTATTTTGAGAAGTTTGGTTACCTAGTCCTTGATGAAGGCATGTTTGACCTCGGACTGGGGCTTTCTTTTTTGCTTCACCGGGCGGAATTTAGGGTCCAGGCATAGTTTGTGAATGGTAATTTCTGGTGGGATCCCTGTCATATCGAGGTGGGACCAAGCAAAGCAATCCATGTTAGCTTTAAGGAAATGAATATGTTTTTTCCTGAGCTCGGGGGTTAGCCCCGTGCCCAGGTATACCTTTCGTTCGTGCTGATGCTTGGCCAGTATGCTTGGCCAGTGTGACTTGTTCCATCTCTTCGACCGTTGAATTGGTGGCATCAGAGTCATCGGGAATTATGAAGGATCGAGGGATCCAGTAGTCGTCATCCTCGTCGATCCCTTGCTCTTGCAATTGGGTCTAGGCTAGTATCTGTGGTTACTATTTGACCTCCTGCTTTCCCTTCGATCCATTCATTGATGAGAGCGTCGATACCGGTATCACTTCATTGACTACAAACATTTCCTTGGCGGCTGGTTTCTCCCCGTACACTGTTTTGACTCCCTTCGATGTCGGGAACTTCAGAACTTGGTGAAAGGTCGAGGGTACTGCCCTCATGTTATGGATCCAAGGCCTTCCGAGCATGGAATTGTACCTCATATCACCATCGATCACATAAAACTTTGTTTTTTGGATGGTCCCGACCACGTTTACTGGCAAAGTAATTTCACCTTTGGTGGTTTCGCTTGCCATGTTGAAGCCGTTAAGTACTTGGGATGCGGGCACAATTTGATCTTGTAGGGCGAGCTGTTCTACGACCCTCGATCGAATAATGTTGGCCGACCTACCTGGATCAATCAAAACATGTTTAACTTGAATTTTATTCATAAGGACAGATATTACCAGTGCCTCATTGTGGGGTTGTAAGATCCCCTCTGCATCCTTGTCATTGAAAGACAAGGTCCCTTCCCATACATAGTTTTCAAGATAGCAGGGTCGGTCCCTGACTCAATTCACATTTGTCCTCCCCGGCACTGGTTTGGCCCTGTGAACGATTTCCTGTGATGGCTCGGGTTCGACCCTACTTGGTGCGTGGTTCTGATTCTGAAGTTGTGCTATTATAGCTTGTTGAGCCTGCAACATTTCGAATATTATTCGAAGGCTGATTCCGCCTTCTTTGCCGCCCTGTGCGTTCTGACCGGCTGATCGAACGTCTCTGCGGACGCTATTTTCGGGGTCGATGCCCAGATTTGCATTCAGGGCAACATGGGAACTGACGTCGATGGGATCTGCAACTGGTGCTCCCTTGAGGTCAACTGGAAGCACTTCGTTTCCTGGGGAGGCTACATTGTCGTTTTCGCCATGAAAACCAAGGTCGTTGTCGATGTGTGTGGGTACTGATTGAGAGTTCGACATGCTGATCCTGGAATCAAAAATGCTTACAAAAATAAGTGTAAAGCAATGTGTGTTATGAAAATTAGCACTAGACAATCACTATTATCCTTAGCCCCACGGTGGGCGCCAAACTGTTTACCCTTAACGTCGGATAACAATTAAATTTGTAAGTGGTTTTAAGGATATGTGATTTTACTTGGCACAAACTAAGAAACATGAGAATTGAAGTTAGAAATTAACTGTAAAGCAAAGCAAAATAATGTAACGTGCTACCTTGGCCCTCAAATTAGGTCGCCCTCGAACCAACTGATGAATATATTATTGAAAAGCAAGAACTGGACAATAGAATAAGAATGCTTAAGAAAATGTTATAAACTGCTTTGATATGCGTCAGTCCCCTTACAAGATGATTGGAACCCTCTTTATATAGTAGAGGAATTCCACATGTGGTATAATTCTAAATACAGAAGGAAATCTCCTGATTGCCTAATCAACCGGTCTTATCTTGATACATGCCGAGATCTCCGCCACAATCCTCGCCCGATCACGGATTCTTCGGCTTTCTGTTATTCGACTTAGCATGCTTCTTTCGATCTCACTAGATCTCTATCCTTCTCGGTCTCGACCTTAACTGGTCTCGATCTCAATCCCTGAATCACGAGTTAGGCAATATCTATTCATGTAACGATCCAATATAACTTGGGATCGAACCTCGGTCTGCCGCCCTGATCTTGATTAACCATACGAAATCGGGCAAGCCCGATTTTGACTGTATACAATATCTTATACTATATCCAATTAGGATTCCATGTCTGGTCTTGAAAAACAAAATTAAAAAGAAAAAACTCATCCTAAAAGCTTAAATGTCCTATCATCCCGAGGAAGTATTTTAAAAGAGTATGTCGAGAAGAAATGTACCCTAATGAGTAGAATTTAAGAAAATGTCTGTTAATTAATGATAGCGGCAGCTTAAGGATATTCCTCAGAAAGCTACTTTTCCCCAAGATTTTCTAGTGGTCATCTACACAACCAAAGAAAAAAAAAAGGAGAAATCATAGAGAATTGTTAGAAAAACTAAGTAACAGAGAATTAAAGGTTTTGCACATATTTCAAGAGTTATTGCCTTTGTATACTTTAGGGATTACAAGCAATTCTCTATCAGGATACAACAAAGTCTGAAACATAAGTGCAAATTGAATATGCTATTTTTGGAGATTTTGGAAAGGTGGGTTGAGGAGAGTAGCATAAAAATATATTTTTTTAAAAATATTTATACTCTCTAACTAAACACTGAAAAATCTTTTCCTGAAAAAATTTTCACTCACCAACCAAACAAGAAAAAATAAGTGATAAAACTACTCATTTTCTATGAAAACATTTTCTTTCGCACCAAACACACCCTAAGTGTCTTTTTTAAGATGTTCTGTTCTTCAAAGTCGAAAATTCTCAATATATGCTATGCTTATCACTCTCTTCCTGTCTCAAGAGACCAAATAGGGAAAAAAGTTTCCACGAATTGAATTTCTATTTTGACTCGTTTAACTCGGAGGATTATTTTCTTCCATTGATCAAAAGATGAAGAATGTATTCCATTCCCAATCATGTGTAAGAATTTGTAAGTACAAGTCTTATTTTTATTTTTATTTTGTAGTATAATATTACCCTGACATGAAATTAAATGGAAAAAAATACACAATGAAAATTCATATGTTCAATTCCAATTTGTTTAGGATTGAAATGTAATTGTAGTTGATGAATCATCTGTCAGTTCTCATGATACAATCCTTAGCACATCAATATGTTTCAATCTCGAACATTAAGAGATTTGGAGGATCCTTATTCTAAAGAAGAATCCTTTCTTTAAATTATTTGAATACGTCATGATTATTTATAATTTTATCAAGGATTGACAAGTGAAAAGGAATACATGCAGGGAGATAGTAGAAGATCGCAGATAGCAAGTCTACTATTGGCAGATCGAGATTTTGACAAATTAATACTTATAATGGGAAAGCTAAATTTTCGCCCTTTGGCAAATCACATTTCGAGCGAATCCAGTTACGAGCCCAAGCCACCACCTACCCCTTCACCGCTTCCACGCAAGCTGACAGTGACAAAGCCAGCAGTGCGAGTGTTTAGGAAGCGAATAGTGACAAAGCCAGTCGTGCCACTGCCGAGCAATATGAGTAGTCTGCCGCCATTGACGCAGATACCAACTGATCAGCCAGTACCCCCTCAGCAAACAACAGAGGCTGTTCCTGTAGTGATCGGAGTTATGGTGTTGGATACAAATGCAGTTCCTAATTATTCTATGCCTGCAGCTAATCATACAAGGCCATCGGCCTCTCCTGGGAAGATTACCAAAGTATTGGGTGGTGTGGCAAGGAATGTTGCTGATTGCATGTCAAAGCTTAAAGCAAAACCATTCCTGATAAGCGCTGTTGGACTTGACGTTCCAGGAAAGTCGCTATACGAACACTGGGAATCTACTCGGTTATCCGTACAAGGTATTCTGAGACTGCAAGATATTGAGACTGCTGTCAGTTGCAATGTCTTTGATGGAAAAGGTGGACTAGTAGCTGCTGTGGCTTGTGTTGACTCAATTGACAAGTTTCTCACTCCCAAGTGGATTGAAAAGTTCAAAAGCAAAATAAGGTCAGCTCCAATACTGATGGTGGATGCGAACTTGAGTTCTCATTCTCTTGAGGCATCTTGTCGAATGGCCGCTCAGTTCACTACTCCGGTCTGGTTTGACCCTGTATCAGTGGCCAGATCTAGAAGAATTGCTTCAGTGGTCCACTATGTAAGATTTGTCTCAGCCAATGAAGATGAACTTATTGCCATGGCAAATGCCTTATCCCGCCGCGGCAGAGACAGATTTTCTCCAGTTCAGAGAGATCTTTGTAGTACCGTCGAATCTTTGTTCGAAATGCTTAAACCTGCCATTTCGTGTTTGCTAGACAATGGTGTGAAGGTGATTGTTGTTACAGTTGGACAAGATGGGGTATTCTTATGCTCCAAAGCTAAGTCCGTTCTTCTTCAGAAACTTGATTTTAAGGGAAACCGGCTTCCTTCGTCGAGTAAACAGTTGCGGGAAGCTGTTGATGCAGAATGCTCAAGTGGTCGGTTTTATGGTGCTTCAAGATATGGGCTGTACTCAGATTTTTATGCTGTCCATTTCCCTGCACTTTCTGCATCAGTAGTGAGGCTTACAGGCGCTGGAGATTGCTTGGTTGGCGGGACTATAGCTTCTCTATCTGCTGGTTTAGATGTCATGCAAAGTGTAGCAGTAGGGATTGCAGCTGCTAAATTTGCTGTTGAAGTAGAAACCAATGTCCCCGCAGAGACTTGTTTGGACGGAATCGAATATGATGCAAGCCATGTGTACTCTGGTATGTCAGTTAGCCAAAGTAGAGATGGTTTAGGGAATGGTAAGAATGTATCATTTGGGTCATTTCCCATCCAGCCACCACAAAACAAAAGCAACAATCCACTGCTAACGCAATCACAAAGCGAAAACATTGCTGATGCACCTGGGAGCAATCAGGATGAGTCTTTAATTGGTAGATCAGCTTACCAAAGTCGACAGGTTGTTCGTCCGATTGGCAAACAAATGACTGGTAATTTAACACGTAACTTAACTGATCAGCAACCGATCAGTGTCATGAAGCAGCCTAATCCAAGCTCTTTGCCTAACGCAGGGTTAATACCAAGCCAAGACAAAGGTCCTGAACTAAAGTTGACGTACACGAAAATAGTGACAAGTAATCTCCCACCTGAAGAAAAGCCAAAGGACGGGGAAATAACTGAAACAATTCAATAGGACAAATATGAAGAAGAGGAGGAAGATTTCCCAATATGGGAACGTGTAATATCCAAAAAACAAAAGATCAGGTCCGTCAAGGGAAGAAACAAAGATACTCCTAAGAACAGGAACTAGTCTACTGAAGCTGGTGTATCGTTGCTACATTTTCATGGTTCTTTAAACACTTCCCTCTTTTTTTCCGCCATTTCAATATCCAGAGAGGATTAAGAGTTTACTCTTTCCCAGTTGTTACTTTCATAAATACGCACTAGAGGAAGAGGGCATTTTTTCACTTCATCTAGTGCTAAAAAATTTATTTCTGAAAGTAACAATTAGGAAAGAGTAAATTCTTAATCCTCTCTGGATAATTTGGGGGAGAAATGGGGGAAAAAAGAAGGAAGAAATGAACCAGAGGTAGCAGTTTTCTCTCCCTTTTGTTTTTTGGGTGCTGAACATTTATGTTTGTGTTTGAAATTTAAGTACTCCCTTTTCTCTGTTACTGTCGCATAGGCCTTCATTGGAATTAAGTTTTGCGTAATATTTTTTGCACACTTTTATCATGGATGAATTATTTTCCTACTTCTTTCCCACATCGATCTGTAAATCGATTTAACTTTTAATGACAATAATACTATAATAATTTTTATATTATCGATGTAATTTGACATATTGTGTGGTTTTACATTGTCAAAGGGTGTAAAGTTAAACTCTTAGAACTTGTAGCTGAGTCTACTGGTGAAAAGCAACTAGATGTTGCTGATAGAGGAACGGTTTTTGTGTTATGAAGAAGTATTCTGAAAGCAAATGATAAACAAATTTACAAGAAAAATAAGATAAATTTGCTAATAAAACAGACCAAATCACTATCCGGCAATTTAAATCAACCAAAATTAAGAAAGATTCATCAAGTTTAATCAAAAAACTATCTTTCATTGAAAGAAGATAATAAGATTTTGTTCTTGTGAAATTAAAGATAAAAAGTCATTAAAGTGTGTCTTCTTGTGAGTTACCTTTCTCCTTCATCTTCATGCTTCAAGCCATAACCATGGCTGCTACTTCTAATGTAGGTTAGTTCCGAAACAGGAAAAATCACATACCACCGATCCTCTGCCACTCGGCCCGCGCTGCTATCATTAGGGTGGGTAGGGTGGCGGAGGAAAGATGGACGAAGGGGGGGAGGGGGCTTTTGTTTTTTAACCAAAACTGTTCTTTTTTTGTTTTGGTTGGAAATATTTTTCTTATTAATTAATTTAAGACAGAAGACATGTGGCTTTTTTTCATTCGTTAATTTCTGCCATGTCAACGTGTGTGGAATACACGCACTATATCATTTTTGGTGACCAGTTTTTGGTGTTTGAGAGACACATATTATGTGTAACTGGAGTAGCTAATAGGTGTAGCTAAGTGAAAATAGTTGACAAGTTTAAGGAGCGGTATATGTATTCCGCCTAAAAATGTTTGAACGGATATAGGGTATAGGGGCTGGAAATAGCAGGCTGATTATTTTGAGAGAAATTAATCTTAGACCATTTTGGGTAATGCCTCATATATACTGAATACTGAACTGATTACAAAACTAACAATCTATTTGACTTTTGATTGTGCACCACACTAACAGTTACTGCATTGAATCATCATCTACCAGATTATACCAAGAAGCACAGACCTTTAATTATCATTATCTGAGTTGTTTTGACTCAAAATATGCAGAGGCAGAGGCACGCAACACACTATTATGCATTTACATCTGTTTGTTTAGACAAATTCCACCATAGCAGTCTACAACAATTTGTCACCATTTACCCAACAGGATTAAGTAGAGGTAGGGAAAAAAAAAATATTAGCCGAGTGCTTGATCCTTCAAATGCAAGTCAATGATTTGTCAACCAAGCCTTTGAAATTCGGTGTAGTTGTGAGCTGAACTTACATTGGTTGGTCAAAAACCCACCCACTATCCTACTAGTATGCTTGGCTATGTGAACATCATTTCCACCAAAGTTCCGGAAGATTCTTAATTGTTCTCAAACAATCCATCATTTTGAAGATCTTGTTATACAATCTGTACTATTATAATAAATAACGAAACAGTAAACTTCCTGAAACAAAAAACAGAAACAGAAAGTTAACAACAACAGAATGTCGAAATAATATCTGAAAAAATAATTTCGGAATAAATCGAGCCCACTGAATGTACAGTGTATCCTTAAGGAAAGTATTTCCCTCAATTATCCGAGGTGTTGGAATATTATCCTCCCAGGATAGAATGATTTAACTCAACACTGTATTGGTACCAAAAACTCTTATGAACTTCGAACCACTCAATGGTTGTAAAACACACTGAAAATTTTGTGAAGAAGAAGAGGAAGAAGAAGAAGATCATAAGATTTCGTAAGGAAAGATTCTGGGATCAAGGCTTATTTATAGCCATTTTCTGGCACTGTTTCTGAAAAGGTTTGCAACCTTTCAGAAACAGCCATGGCTGTTGGAACAGGTGAGAATATTTTCCGTTTGAAACATTCCGGGAAAACGGATTTAAAATAATCCGGAAAAGAAACGGGTCGCGTTGCGGGTCCTAGGTTATTCCGGGTTAAATTTTTCATTAATTATTTAAATTAATTAATTAATCGATCTTTGACCAAATCCAAATCCTAATTCAAAGCCGAAGCCGAAGCCGAGCGAGCGCGACGACGCGAGGCTTACTTTCTTTCCAACTCATTTAACACCAAGAGGAGTGCTTTCTCAATATAAGCACATTCATTTTCTTTCCACCACCAATGAGGGACACTTGCTCTTTCCAAAGTAAAAGGGAGTTCACTTTCCCTCCGCTTTCTTCCCTACATTTCTGATTCACCAATCTTAAATCCCAACAACCCCCAACATGAATGGGGAATGGCTATAAAATAAAGGAATGCACTGACGAGTGTGTGATTTATATGCAAGGATTAATTGCATCTGGATAAGCAGGTTTCCCTTTGAACTTTTCGTAGTGAACTTATATCGGATATACTCGGTCAATCGGTAGATTTGATATCTTTGAATCGTCGAACTTTATTGTATACATAGACAACATAAGTCACACGATCAACCCTTAACCATCTATGGTTCTCATGGTTGTGTTCGTTTCAGCCATGAACACCGCCAAGTTTCATGAGTGCTTAAAGAATGGGCAGTTACTTTCATTCCCCTTGAAGCGGCTTTACACTTTACACTCACATAGGTGATTTCTAAGCGTGTAATCCTATAGACATACTATCTGGTCATATCCTGCCAGACTTAGCAAATCGTTAAAAAACTTTAAGCTTTACTGACTCATCAAAAAGCCTTAATGTTTTACCTTGATTTCTGAACATTGTCTTCATCACGTGAATGGGTTGAGTTATTTGACAATGTTGAACCGTCATTCATAACTTTGTTTGATCTCTTTGAACCTAGCTCTTGGGATCTCTAGTCTGCTAGGTAGAGTTACCGCCATGATGACTTGTTCTAGGCCATAACCCCATTCCCTTCGACTATCTTTCAACTGCCTTTCTAGATAGGCCTTTTGTAAGTGGATCCAACACGGTATCTCTGGACTTTACGTAGTCAATCATGATAACACCACTAGAGAGTTGTCTAACGGTATTGTATCTCCGTCGTATATGACGAAATTTTTCGTTATACATAACGTTCCCTGCCTATTGTCGCTTGACCATCACAATGTATACATATAGGTGCTAAAGGTTTGGGCCAAAATGGAATATCTTCCAAGAAATTTCGGAGCCATTCAGCTTCTTCACTGACCTTGTCTAAAGCTATGAATTCAGATTCCATTGTAGAACGAGCGATGCACGTTTGTTTGGATGATTTCCAAGACACTGCCCACCCCCAATTGTGAAAACATATCCACTCGTGGATTTAACTTCAGATGATCCACTGATCCAATTTGCATCATTATATACCTCGATCACGGAGGGATATTTGTTATAATGCAGAGCATAATCTTGGGTATGTTTCAGATACCCCAAAACTCGTTTCATTGCAATACAATGTATTTGATTGGGATTACTTGTAAATCGACTGAGTTTGCTAATAGCACATGCTATATCTGGTCGCATACAATTCATGATATACATCAAACTTTCCAATACTCTTGTATAGTTCAGTTGTGAGTCGCTTTCACCTTCATTCTTTTGAAGCGCATAACTCACGTCAATTAGAGTCTTGGCAATCTTGAAATCCAAATACTTGAACTTGTCAAGTACTCTTTCAATGTAGTGAGACTGTGATAATGCTAGACCTTATAAAGTCTTGTGAATTCTGATTATTAAGATCACATCGGCAACTCCTATTCATGTCGAATTTGCTAGCCAACATACGCTTAGTAGCATTTATATCTGCCATATTTTTGCTCATTATCAACATGTCATCAACATATAAACAAACAATGACTTCATGACCTGGAGTGTTTTTAATGTAAACACATGTGTCACACTCGTTGATTTTAAACCCACTTGTCAACATTGTTTGGTCAAATTTGACATGCCATTGTTTTGGTGCTTGTTTAAGTCCATAAAGCGGCTTAACAAGTTTGCACACTTTCTTTTCTTTACCCGGAACCACAAAACCCTCAGGTTGTTCCACGTAAATTTCTTTCTCCAATTCTCCATTTAAGAAAACTGTTTTAACATTCATTTGATAGATTTCAAGACCACACACGGCCGCCAGTGCCACTAGCACCCTAATAGATGTTATCCTCGTTACTGGTGAGTAAGTGTCAAAGTAATCAAGGCCTTCTTTTTGTCTATAACATTTGACAACAAGTCTTATCTTATATTTGTCAATAGTGCCATCAGCTTTCATTTTCCGTTTAAAGATCCATTTCGAACCTAAAGGCTTATTTTCTGGAGGAAGATCAACCAATTCCCATGTATGGTTATCCAAAATTGATTGAATCTCACTATTGATTGCCTCTTTCCAAAATGCTGAATCAGAAGATGACATAGATGCTTTAAAAGTTTGAGGCTCATTTTCAAGCAAGAATGTCACAAAATCTGGTCCAAAGGAAGTAGATGTTCTTTGACGTTTGCTACTCCTTGGATCTTCTTCACTTGGAGTATTTTCCTTTGGTTCTTCACGTGATCGTTTAGGTCTTTCACTTAACGACTCGCATTCATCTTTATACAGATAGATGCTTTCAAAAAATTCAGCATTATCTGATTCAATTACCGTATTAACATAAATTCGGGATTATCAGATTTATGAACCAAAAACTGACATGCTTTATTATTTGTAGCATATCCAATAAAAACACAATATATAGTTTTCCTTTTGGGTAAAGGAACTTGTACCTTTGCTAGACGCCCCCACACTTTGAAATATTTCAAGTTGGGTTTTCTTTCTTTCCATTTTTCATATGGAATAGATTGCGTTTTGCTATGGGGTACTCTATTGAGTATTCAGTTAGCTATAAGGATAGCTCCCCCCTCCTCCCTCCCTNCCCCCAAAACTCTGTGGTAATCCGAAACTTATTAATAAATAATTCATCATATTCTTTAATGTCCGATTTTTCCTTTCCGCAATTCCATAGGATTAAGGTATGTAGGGGCAGTAGTTTGATGGATAAATTCATATTTCGAACATATTTATGCAAACGGGGATTCATATTCTCCACCTCTATCACTTCTAATCATTTTGGTCTTTTTATTCAATTGATTCTCCACTTCATTCTTATATTGCTTAAATGCTTCAATTACTTCCTCCTTACTATTAAGCAAATAAATATAACAATATCGAGTACAATCGTCAATAAAAGTTATAAAATAATTTTTCCCACCTCGAGATGGTGTCGACTTCATATCACAAATGTCAGTATGAATTAAGTCTAAAGGATTTGAATTCCTTTTAACAAACTTATAAGGATGTTTTACAAACTTAGATTCAACACATATTTAATATTTTGATTTATTACACTCGAATCTAGGTAATACTTCTAAATTAATTAACTTCCGTAATATTTTGTAATTGACATGTCCTAAACGAATATGCCATAAATCATTTAACTCCAATAAATAAGAAGTTGAAATTTTATTTATACTGTCAACAACCATTACATTGAGTTTGAAAATACCCTCTGTGAGGTAGCCCTTTCCAACATACATTTCATTCTTGCTTACAACAACTTTGTCAGATACAAATACACATTTGAATCCATTCTTAACAAATAAAGAAGTAGAAACTAAATTCTTCCTAATAGTAGGAACATGAAGAATGATGTTGAGCGTTAACACCTTGCCGGAAATCATCTTCAAGAATATCTTCCCATAACCTTCAATCTTAGCTATTGTAGTATTTTCCATGGAAAGCTCTTCTTCGGGACCAGCAGTAGAGTAAGTCGCAAATGCTTCTTTGATAGCACAAACATGTTGAGTGGCTCCAGATTCAATCCACCACTCCTTCGGATTTCCAACTAGGTTGCATTCCAAAAGCATTACACACAGATAATCAATGTCATCATTCTCCACTATGTTGGCATGTCCCTTTTTCTTATCCTTTTTCGGGAGACGAGAATCAGGGGTTTTGTGACTAGCTTTTCCACAATTGTAGCAGTTGCCCTTGAATTTCTTTTTGTTCTGCTCCTTAGTCTGTCCAAAAGACCTCTTCCTCTTCTTACTTTTTGGAGCAGTCTCCTCAACAATATTAGCTCCCATAATCGTTGAATTTCCACGAGACTTCTTCTCGGCTGTTTTGTTGTCTTCCTCAATCTTGAGACGAAACACAAGATCTTCCAACTTCATTTCTTTGCGCTTGTGCTTAAGATAGTTTTTAAAATCTCTCCACGAATGAGGCAATTTATCAATCTTTGCAGCCACTCGAAATGCTTCATTCACAACCATACCTTCAACAATAAGGTCGTGAAAAAAAGTTGAAGCTCTTGAACTTGGATTCCAACGGCTTTGCTGTCTATCATTTTATAGTATAGAAACTTGGCAACCACAAATTTCTTCAAGCATGCATCTTCAGTCTTGTACTTCTCAAGTGCGTCCCATAATTCTTTAGAAGTATTCGTAGCACTGTAGACATTATACAAGTAAACAACAGAAGAGTTCTCAGAGTCAACAACAGAAGAGTTCAATTAATGGCAAAAAACTGAACAGTAAACAATACTGTAATTAACGATAAACAACCGAAACCGAAGCCGAAGCCGAGCGACGACGGCGCAAGACTTACTTTCTTTCCAACCCATTTAACATCAAGAGAAGTGCTTTCTCAATATAAGCTCATTCACTTTTCTTTCCACCACCAAGGAGGGACACTTGCTCTTTCCAAAGCAAAAGGGAGCTCACCTTCCCTCCACTTTCTTCCCTCCATTTCTCATTCACCAATCTTTAATCCCAACAGATCTAGCATGCCCTGTTAGTTCCTTCAACAGTCATTAAAGATATACTAATTGATTTACTGTAATAAATCATAGAACAATGTTAGGCTAACAATATTTAAAAAGAAAAACAATTACATGTCTTCTTCTTTACTCAACAAATGCAAAAGATCCATCAATATGTAAGGATAGACCCTCTCCATTATTAGAGGACATTTGTTATCAGAGTTGATTGTTGAAGGATTTTTGAGATCATCGGAGTTCCAATACTACATTAAGCCATCCCAATGACATTGACTAATCCACTTTAAGTCGAAGGATCTGTTGTTAATAGAGACTGTACTTTCCCGGTTTAAAAAGAAACTTGGACCTGATTATTGACTTTGCCACATCAAACCACAGCTTATACTGTAAACACCCAAACAAAGCTACAGGAACACCAGAACAAGCAGCAATGAGCTTTGGCCCCCAAGCCCTATGATTATTATAGATCAAGAAGAAGGTTGCTGCAAAAGCCACGAGCATGCTAACTATCGAGGCAAAGAGTGTCGAGAGTCCAAACAGTAACTTGGCAGGCAATGACACAAGAAAATCGTCTTCAGCATAGCGAGACATCAGAATGGACAAGAACATAATGATGGAAACAATTGAGCTGAATAGTGCCACTGCATCTGATATGACAAAAACTGTAAATCCCTTCAATTGTAGCATTATCGGCGTACCTTCATCGTCGTTATTACCGCCTGGCACAGTGAAGCCAGCAGCAAACACCATTGTGGCAATCAAAGTTGCAACAATCATACAAGAATTCACAGTGTCTTTCATCAACCTTTCACCTTCTTTGAGTAAAAGTTGGTGCTCCTCTGTGAAAAATTGCCTCGGAGTTTTCCCATCGTTGTTTCTCATCCTGTGGAGTGAAGGTGGTACAATCTTCTCCACTTCCTAACCATAACCAGTCAGATGATTACAACTTTGAGAATTTAAAAGCCATGAACTCTTCTTTATGTTAAGCAAAAGCTAAGAATCCCTTGTTGCATGAAATAGTTTTTTCAAAATGAAAGAAGAATGTGTTTAAACTGAAAAATAAAGTGGCGCTGAGACCAGAGACACAATGATATTGTCGTTTCTGACAGCCAACTCTGCTTTGGACATCTCTCACCTTAAACCACAATAACTCTCTTTGCAGTGGAAGAGCTGCTCCAGAAACCCGGAGAAATGATGGAGGCACTCTTCTTCCTGCACTAAACAGTCATAATTTGAATGATGATAACCTAAAAAGAAGAAGATGGAATCCTTCCTTAGATTATGAAATAGGAATGAGTCATGCATATATTACACAAGAAAATGAAAAGTTGTGTGGAAAAGGTAAATAAAGGGTGAATATGGGAAATTAAGTTTAAATAAATAAGGAAGTGTTTCCCACTTTAGTGAGTTATCCAACCTGTTTTGCAGCGACGGATTGGCTGCCCCAACTTTCCAGCCAAATGTAGGATGCGATTGCTATTTATATCTTCTCATAGACCTTGTGGTTGTTGCCTTTCACAATGCGTGCATATACGAATTCAACGATTTCATTTCCAATAAGACCGGAACATCGTCAAAAATAGGTAAACAAGATGGCAACAGCAAAACCTAGTCATACCAAACTTTCTTATAATCTAACCCAGTCATAATCCAGATTTTCTGAATTTATCATAGTTGCAAGAAAATTTTCTTAAAAGAATGAATCCTCCTGAATTTACCAGTGAAAATGATGCAGGGGATGAAAATGCTCTCCACCAATCCATTGACAAAATTCTCTTTCTCAAAACATTTACAACAGGTAGGGATTCACTCTCCCATTCATTACATGCATAGAATGTGAATTTCTAGCACAACAGCATCATGATTTCAGCCCCAAGGATGAGATCACTGACCAATTTGGATACTCTGAGGATCTGCCTACATCTTTGTCCTTCTTGGGGCAATTGTTCGGCCCAATATGAGCAAGAGACGACATCATCACTTAGGACTTGCAAGTAGTATACAATTGTATCTCTACTGTCATTTACTCCCCATGTCATATGTGAATTAAAATTGTTTTCACTTAAAATGCTAATTAACCACTTTGGCAACAAGTTGCTTCCTATTCTAGCAAAGTACGTAGTTGATTCTTACGGGAAAGTAGTCTAGAATTCCTGCAGAAAACAATAAGAATTTAACTTAACGTCAGCAGATCTTACATGAAATGAACGGTATCCTGGAAACTGCAGTAATAAGCATTCCTCTTGCTCGTATAAATCCAGTTTTTAGCCTGAGCATACGAATGAATCTGTCCCATTTCCCTTCTAGATTTCTGCTACTGATTGCTAAAGTCTTTTTTTAGCTAACGCATTAAAGACTGACCGATTTCCTTCTATTGTAGTGGCAAGAAATCTGTACTTGTCAAATATTTTTGTTGCAATATCTGCAAGCCATGAAAACCAAAGTAAAGGAAGTAACTTCAATATCAATACAGATCTTAATAGTTCTACTCGAACAGCTTTTTCAAAAGGCAAGCATAAGTACAGTGAAAAGTGATTAGCTGGCTGACTATATTATCTCTATCGTACCGTACATGTCATTCTGGATTGTTTCTTCAAGAAGCACAAAGAGATCTTTCTCGTGTAGATCCTCAAGACGTGTGACATCGAAAAGAAATGATACCATATGTCCATATCTTTGTTGCCGAGCACAGCTGCCTTAAGGATTGGTGTTCCAGATTTATTACAGATGTTAGGTAGGTTGGCATGCCTTTCCCACATTGCTCCAGCAACTTCCACAACCCCTGACGTAGCTGCAAGACAAAAGGCAGTACTTTCATCATCATTTCTCACTTCCAAGTCACCTACTTCCATCAGTTTCACTAGCTCTCGCACAAGTCGGGTGCTTATGTGAAGAATTGTTTCACCCCCTTTTGCTATCTTAACATGAGCCAAACTTGGATCCACTTCTAAAAAAGGTTTAACCATTCTCCAATCATCTTTCAAAGCAGCTTGGTAAAAAATTTGATTCAGATGACATAATCGCCCATCGCCTGAAAATAACAAAGCGCGTTTAGTAATGCTGGAGCAACTTTGATACAGAGGCGGATGTACAACTATACCTATGATTCAATTGAACCCATAATTTCGATTTGGAACATATATTTATTTATGTATAAAACATCACTCGAATTGCAATAAATAGTAGATATGAACCCCTGACGTTTAAAGTATAATAGGTTCAATTATATGGATCCACCTCTACTTTGATATATATGTATACCGCATGACAAGTTAAATTAGTTCTCAATCGATACTCACTTTTAATCACAGAACTACTATCACTATCTGAAAAGCTATGTATGGGTCCACCTTATGTTACACTAATGTAATTATTTTGGTTGAATACGATAACATCTCCTGCCGACGCAATTCAAGAGACCTCCTACATCTTTACTCCTAAGAAATTTAAACAATCTTGTGCTAGTTTGATGTTTTGTCACAAAAAGATTCTCCTTTGTTATTCAGTAATTACTGACTAGAATACATTCTGAAACATCCACTTATCTATTTTACTGGTTGTAGCAATCCAACTTTCTCTTTTTTTTCTTTTCTTTTTATTTGTAAACTAGGGAGTCCGTAGCTGCTGTGCGTTTTGGGTAAACCCCGCTCTAGTGCAATAGTTCGCAAACTATCCTGGAAAGGTAAACCGCATTAGGCAAGCCCCGTATGACGAGCTCGACCGAGAAAGCATGCAGGGGTTTCAAGAACCTGTGACCTCCCATTTGGAGGATCTCCTGCTCAACCAACTTGGCCACCAGGGGCAAAGCTATATTGGCCCAAGGGTGGTCAACTGACCACCCTTCGCCGAAAAATTATACTACGTATAAGGTAAAATATTAGTTGTTATTGGTTAAAAATAGACTTTGAACACCCTTATTAAATTTCCTGGCTTCGCCACTATTGGCCAGCCTTGCGGGTTATAACAATGCAATTAGATAACCTTTTTAATTTAAATTGAAAAACAGTTAGCGGACAAGAGTGGGTTGCTCAAGTGGTGAGCACCCTCCACTTCCAACCAACAGGTTGTGAGTTCGAGTCACCCCAAGAGCAAGGGGAGCTCTTGGAGGGAGGGAATTAAAAAAAAAAGAAAAGTTAGCGCATCAAAATCAACTTGTAGTGCAGCATTTTTCTCCTTACTAGGATTTAAGTTATTATGTATATACTGACGGAGCAAAGATATTTTTTGGACAAAAAAGCAAAGATTACTTTTAGCCCGTAGCCGAAATTACTTATATTCGATATAAATTATATATATATATATACACACAAAAAAAAAATATTGTGTCATTTTAGGACGACACTATCAGTGTAGGATCATCCCATACAAATTCTCTTCTTGTTGGGCTGGATAATCCGGCGCCCCCCTTCTCTCCCAATTTCATAATCGTTTGGATCATCGGCTCCTCGGATCCAACTCCCCTCCATTTTCTAATTTCTCCATTTCTCCAAGTTCCTACTTGGATGGGAGACACTTGTCATGGTTAAAAATCAATGGATATGATTTAACTGAATACAATAAAGCCCTAACTTTAGTTAAAGTATTTAATTACTTCTTTTATTCATCCCAAATAATATCTTTTGCCTCTCCTAGCGGTAGAACTTCCTATAATTCCTCTCTTCGCGCCAAAATACATCTGCTCTCACCGAAAATCATGGCACCAGAGAAAATCTTTCAGATTTTTGCCATGAAAATCCAATCCTTGAAGATCATTGTTAAGTTAAAATCAACAGAAAAATACAACAAGTAGAGAAACAGAGAACAAGGCAGCAAGTCGTGGGAACTTCCTTTTTCTTGAAATACTTGACCAATTCTCGCCAGGTTCTTCTTTATCCATTAATTCGATTCCTTAGAAGTTAAATACTTTTTTGTGCGTTTCTTGGCGTCGAGTAAAATGGAAGATTTTGTAGAATTGAAAAAAAAATTAACTCACAGAAAGAAAATTACTACAAGAAAAAGAGAAGATAATGTGTAGCTAATTAGCTATAATTGTGGGATTGCAAAAGATATTATTTGGGAATGAATAAAAGAGGAATTAAATACTTTAACTATGGTTAGAGCTTTATTTTATTCAATTAAATCTCATCCATTAATTTTTAACCATGAGCCCGAGTAGCAACTTTGAGAAATGAAGAGATTAGGAAATGGAGGGGAGTTGGATCCCGGCTCCTCGAGCTTGAAAATTACAAATTCCTCTCTATGTAAAACAGCAACATGGAAAATGGTCCGATCTCTATGGTGGACTTTCCATATGAGATCAGGGTGGTCGCGAATAAGCAAAACTAGAAACTCTACATTACCTGCTTTTGCAGTAGAATGCAGCAATTTTGTCTTGTCCACTATCCTCTGCACATCTCTGACACTGCTCAGAGCTCCTCAAGTAGTAGACCAGCTTGCTCCTTCAGTAAAGATCTTTCAGAAAATATCTGAACCAATTTGGATCCTAAATTTGAAGAAATAAAGCGTTGTCTTGATATAAAATAATGGGGAAAAAGAAATCACCAACACCTTGAGACCACCCTGTGCTGCGCTTCTGCGACGCGGAGGGGAGAATGCTTATGGAACAGTGTTGGGCTCCGGATCCTGCGGTCGGCCTTCTTTCACTGAAATTGCCAAACGCATACGTGCCATGTCTAAGTAACAGTCTAAGTAATGGCATGTGCAATTTTTCTGTTTTCCTGCCTCAATATTCTATATAATCAGCTTCTATATATATATATATACTATATTCGTTCTGTGAACTTATTTTTTTTTTTGTATGTTCCAAAAAGAATGATTCCTTTCTAAATTTGAAAACAATTTTGCTTAAACTTACAATTCTACCTTAATGAGAAGCTTTTATAATCACATAAATACTCTGGCCCCTTTTTGAATTGTTTAGAACCACAAATTACAAAAATATTCATTTTTTCTTAAACTCCGTGCCCAATCAAAAAAATTCACATAAATTGGAACGGAAGGAGCATATACTAGTGGGTTAGCCCGGGCTTTAACGTGAACAATGTTATATCTTAAATGAGTTACTTTCAAAAGGTGTTTACGAAGAAAATTAAAAGAAAATAAGAAACAACAAGTCAACAAAGGACAGGCTTGGAAGATAATGCAAAAATAAATCTTTTGGGAAAATTTACTGGAAAAAAAGGTGGAGCAACTTAACTAAGAGGTCAACATTGAAAAGTCATTCTTTAAGCCAGTGTTATTGTAAGTGATTGCTTAGAGCAATGAAGCGAGAGAGAACATGTTTGGTTATTCTCAGGTCCAGAAAAAGAATAACTTCAGATGGATGAACAGTTGAGCACAGAAGTTTAATTCTGGATTAATAAACTATTGATATCCACTTTAAAGTATAGATAACAGCAGGAGTGTAAAGGTGTTGAAAATGTGGATCTGTTTTTGCAAAAGTATCAGCAATTATTAATTTGGATAAAGGTACGTACCTCACAAGTGATCAACTTCTATGTGAATAGTACAGAAGACATTGAGTTAAGTACTCCGTCCCAATTTATGTGAACTTGTTTGACTAGGCACGGAATTTAGAAAAAAATGAATATTTTTGGAATTTGTGGTCCTAAACAATTTAAAAAGGGGCCCAGAGTATTTGTGTGGTTATAAAAGCTTCTCGTTAAGGGTAAAATTGTAAGTTTAAGCAAAATTGTTTCCAAATTTAGAAAGGGGTCATTCTTTTTGGAACGGACTAAAAAGGAAATAGGTTCACATAAACTGGAACGGACATATTAAAAATTTTACATGCTACATACAGTGTAACCTGGATACGGAATGGCTACATGAGTAAGAAGAGCCTAGTTGCACAAGCTTCTGATCCAATTTACCTGGTGTATAAAGCATGTGACATTTAGCATGTTTAGAATTCCACAGACAACAAAATGTTAAAAAAAAGTATACAGCAAAAATGGGTAGACAATCTAACAGGGGAAGAGAGGAACATACATTTGGCAAAAGATAATTCTTTCATAAAACAACGATGAATTCAGTGTTATTATTATTTCTCATTTTACCTTTTCTCTCTCTTTTAAATTGCATAATCATATGTACAAATATATTTTCCCCTTGTAAATTGCACATAACACTTCAGTAATATACTCTTAGTGCAATGTAACCATTATATTTGCTTTTCAAGGAATTTTTCAATACAGTTGGAAAATTTCTTCAATTTACTCATTAATAGAAGTAATTTTTTTATTGAATGTGGGTCTGTTATTCTATCACATAGATTTCACACTCGTAAACTAACTCTTGTGCAATCTTTGTTCTAAACTTAGTGAAATACATTAGTTTTAAGTAGAGAAGATAATACACAAATAGTATATGAATATTTGCCGATGAGTATTTTCGTGTCATTACTTTAGATAGCACCAGTAAAATTAGAGAGCAAAGAAGAAGAAGAAGAAGAGATAGCTTGATTGGAGAGACCGCTTTGAAGTCCAGCTTGGCTGATTTTATTCCAGTACATGTCATTCAGTCAGTTGGGAGGTTCTTATTGGCACACTTCAGATAATTAGTTCGCTCTTTTCCGTTTTTGTAGTTATGTTCGTCGCAAGTAACCAAAATGGAAAACATTGACGCAACCTTAAATTGTTGCGGAAGTCAAATGTATATAGTGTGAATGAGTCACAACTACTATACCAAAAATTATGACAACCACTAAATAATAAACAAGACAATAAGACAACAATAAAAGAACACCAGAATTTACGAGGTTCGGCCAATTTTGCCTACTTCCTCGGACACAATTAATATTTTATTCCACTCCAAAATTACAAGTGAAATAATACTAAAGA